CTGAGTTCCTTGGCAGATAGATGAATTAAAATTTGGGTATAAATTTTAAATCAATCAATCAATCAATCAATCAATCAATCAATCAATCAATCAATCCGAGATGTTCTGTTGGGAAGATATTGACTGGTTTCCTCGAACTGATCTTTTTTCTTACAGCAGCATTTTAGCTAAGATTATAATATCATACATCTGAAAGAGATTTGGAACTGTTGAACTTGGTGAACTGATCCATTAGCATGGCATGCTGGGAAAAAAACCTTCATTCCTTACTAAAGAATGGCAGTGTTGCCCTTTCTAATATTTAGCTGAGAGCAATTTGCAAGGTCCTTTAAAACGAAGTGGCAGTTAAGGACATAGAAATAAGTTGAGGAAAAGTAGAAATCGGTAATGAGATTGGCGTCATACGCAATTTTCAAAGCCATTTTAAAAAGGCAGAGTTTTCTTTTTTAAATCATCACCACCACCTAGTTTTGGAGTTTTCTTTTGTTTTTCAATTTCGTGGTTCCATCTCTTATTCTGTGGCTTCCAGCATTACAATACCCACCAGTGCAACCAGTTACATTTGCACATCGAAATTAGTTTAATTGTATACAGAGGGTTTAATTCGTGGTTAAACATAGATAGGATTGCAGTAGAAGGCAACAATATTGCCTGAATGTGACCCTTCTTCTCAAGCATATATAAAATTTATTTACTGGGAGGGTGCCTTTGTATTCCCATCTACGACCCCTCACTAAAAGACCCTACTTTCCTTTGTCTTTTCTAGGAAGGCGTGACCTCAGAGACTTCTCACTGGAGCCGTCTTTATTTCATGATTTTCTACATTGTGACCATGGTCAGTGTATTCAGCCAGATGCTTCAATATTACGATGCCCTTTTGGACAACGGTTACGATTACATCCTTTTGATTTTATTTTTTTAATGTAATTTTTATTAGCGATGTTTACCGAAGTAGAAGAGAAACATGAAAATATACGAAGAAGAGTTAAGAAAAAGATCAAAGAAAAAATGCAAAGAGCAGTACAGATAGAACAAGAAAAACGATAATTAAGCTACTTCTGTTCTTTTTCCCAGTAGTTACAAACTTAGGATCTCTCTTCCCTCTTTAAGATTATATTACATAGTTCCCTTCTGTCCCATACGCAATCCTTTTTAATCAGCAAATCTAGAAATCACCATTTCATTTTTTTCCCATTTTCAGCAAAAAGTTCATAAAAGGTTTCGTTTATAAAAGTACTTATTGTTTTATTCCTGTTCAAACAGGTCAATTTTGCCATTCTGCAAATTCCACCATCTTCACAATCCAATCCTCCACAATAACATCCTTTTTATGTTGGCTAACTATAGGATAACTGTACAACTCTTCCAGCTGCTTTGATAGCTGATATTTTGAAGATTATTGTAGCCATAGGCCTAGGATGATGGGTTCAAGAACTATTTTGTAGCTATAGCTAGTTGGCCGAGCAGTGTAATGATTTCTGTCCATATGAGTTTAAAAAAGAAAGAAATTTACAGTAATTATTTCTGTAAACCAGCTTGAATGTCTTTTCCAGTTGTCTTCTGGAATGCTTCAATGGACTTTGTCTTACTTTAGTGGGGTGAGCCTACGTAGATTAATCCTAAATATCGTCACCTCTGTAAATGATGTAATTTCTGTCACTTGAATCAATTTCCACATTGGCATGGTGATATAATTATGTCCATGATGTATTTTATGTAATTGAAGTTGGCTTACATCATTTATGTAATGGTGTCATTACAGAAATGATATAAACACTTTGGATACAAAGCATTTTGTCCGTTATTTTGAGGTGATGTCCGAAGGAAAAGTTTGTCAGTTGTATCTGAGCTCTGGAAGGCTGAAATCTGTTAAACTGAGAGGTTACTATATTTAATTCATAATTTATTCCTTCCCAGAGAAGGCCCATGTTCATCCATGCATCCTGAAATATCTCTAACTTTCCAATGGAAGAGAATATATGTAGCTCAGGGTTGAATTGTGGAGTTCTTGGTGTCCTCTGAACTGTTTGCTTGCAGACGTTTCATTACCCAACTAGGTAACGTGATGATGTTGCCCAAATGTTACCTAGTTGGGTAATGAAACGTCTGCAAGCAAACAACCAAGCTCAGAGAGCACCAAAAAACCCACTCTTATCTTTATTAGTCTTGTTACTGCAGCTTGGCCACCAAAAATCAAGAGATCAGGATGTTAGAAGAGGAATCTTCACATTGCCACTGACTTTGGACTTCTTTCCCAGGTGGTGATGACAATCATTGTAGCTTTTATACTGGAGGCATTTGTATTCCGCATGAATTACGCCCGCAAGAATCAGGATTCAGAAGGTATGTGGACATATTTGCCATCTGCTATGTCCGTCTTGCTATCCGTCTTCTCCCCGGTAGGCTAGATTCAAATTAATTAAAGAGGCACACACAAATCAAGGAACATCTGATGGGATTTTCCTGTAGAAAGGCAAAGAAGCCATTGTGAAAGAATTCTAGGGAATGTTGTGTATCAAACATCAGACCTATTTATAGTAAACTCAGTATTCAGTTTTTGCATCTCTTTCATCCATCCATGTTGGGCAATGGTCTGGATAGCTCTCTCTTTTGGGCGAAGGACCAGTTTCTACCTATTACTCAGTCTGCTAACGGACAGATCTCATATTAGCTTATTTTCCTCTGAGTGTGTGAGAATGAACTCTCTTAATTCTGAGCAGGAGAAGAGGGAAGAACAGTAGCTCTGGGTTCTGTTAATGTTGGAATGCCAGAAACCAACTTGTTTTTGAACTGTGGCTAGGAAGTTGATGGCTGCTGGCTTGGATGTTGTTTAAAAAGCAGAACTCAGCAAAATCAGCTCTAGGGTTAAGTCTTTTTTCCACTTGCTTGCTGCTTTTCCTCCATTCTGTCTCAGATCTGGACATTTTTGTAGCTCTCTCTCTGTCAGGCCTAGCCCAAGGAACTCCAAGAGACAGTGCAAAATCAGTTCAGCTGTGTTTATTAGCTACAACCTCTACCAAGAATCTCCCCAGACTAAACCCCCACCTCCAAAGGCAGCCAGCCACAACGGTGTGAATTCCTCAGGGAGGTGCCAGTCTCATCCTCTTGTAGTTCCCACGCTCCTGTGGTGAGCTAAGAAAATGCCTATCTCCCTGAGCCTGGCCTTCATAATTCCATTCCATCATACTCTCCTACTATTATCTAGCAGCTGGCTTCATCCTTGACTTCTTTCTCCAGCAGAAGACAGTGGGATTGTGTTTGAGCGGGAGGTCTCTAAGGAAGAAATTGTGACTGTCGCCGAGTTATACGGGAGGCATGGCAACACCTTGGCAGCTAGCCATCTCCTCAAGGTCATTTCCCAAATGGACCGGCACCGGGTGAGTCCCATAGGCTGGAATTCCTGCCTTTTCTGTTTTCCTCCACTCTGTCTCCCCATCCCCATGTCCTTCAGGATGAGAAGTCTCAGCATGGGCTAGATCAAATGATTTCTCCAAACGTCACTGGCTAGCCACAGGTGATTGCTGATCCTTCCAAGGGCAGATCAAGGCACCAGTTCTTGTGATGCTCACCAGATTGTTTTTTTCTTGGATCGGTGGAGGAGGTAAAAGAAAAACTCTGTCCAGGATGCTTTTAGGCTGGGCTCAGAAATTTCAATGGTTCTGAACTAACACCAGGGAGACCCAAATTCTAGTCCCTGTTCAGCCACAGAAGCTCCTTGGAGGACTTTGATCCAGTCCCTGCCTTTCAGCCCAAGAGACAATGTGGTCCAGTAGTGAATATGCTGGACTAGAAGTGGGGAGACCCAGGTTCTAGTCTCCCCTTGGGTATGGAAGCTCCCTGGATGACTTTGGGAGACAATCCCTCCCTCTCAGCCTCAGAGCCTGTGTGGAGCAGTGGTGAAGGTGCTGGACTAGGAGTGGAGAGACCCAAGTTCTAGTCCACCATCAGACACCGAAGTTCCTTGTGAGTCTTTGAGCCAGTTCCTCCCTCTCAGCCCAAAAGCAGGATGGTCCAGCGGTGAAGGTGCTGGACCAGGAGTAGGGAGACCCAGGTTCTAGTCCTCCCTCAGCTACAGAAACTCCTGGAGGAACTGTGGGCTAACCTCTCCCTCTCAGCCCAACCTACCTCACAGGATTGTTTCTTGGGGGAAAATTGGAGGAAGGAATGCTTTGTATCCTGCCTTGAACTCCTGAAGGACAGGCAGAAATCCAACAAATAAATAGTGCACATTCTGAGACATCTCACGACCAAGGGCACGTTCCCATAAAATCAACTTTAGCAGTATAATAACCTTACCTTATGTGTGATATTCATATTGAACAGGACACATGGTTTTCCTCTTGGACACACTTCTATGGAAAAGGAAGAAAATTGGGAGAAAGGAAAATGATCTGTAGCTCCTCCTAAAATGAAAAGAAAGAGAAACATCCCTGTGTAAATCCCTCTGTGTCTTTAGCAGCATCTGCCCTGATGTGACACACTGCCAATGAGTTGGACTCCTCTACCCATAATTCCCAGCTAACACTGTCCTTGGTGCTGTGTTAGCTGGGAGTTATGGGCAGAGGGGTCCAGGTTGGGGACAGCTGGTCAGAACAGAAAGTAGAGTAGTCCTCCCATCTAGCTGAGTCGAGGTTTCCTTCTTCTTCTCACCATTTGTCTTCTGCTGCTTTAGCAAACCTCCATGCTGTTCTTGGGCCGCCGATCGAGGACCAAAAGTGATTTAAGTATGAAAATGTATGAGGAAGAGATACAGGTAGGTGGTGTGAGCTTCAGAGGTTGTACACATGGTGCTTCCTGGACTTCAATGGCATAGGGGTATCTTGGGCAGTAATTTTATGGTGGATAACTGAAGAACAGTCTATAGTGGAGTTCAGCAACATGATGTCCATGGGTACCAGTATGACCACATGCACTGCCCTGGATCCTATGGGCTTCCTGCTCCCCTTGACTTTATTTATCTTTAAATTCTTTCAGTCTAGGGCAAACATAAGATAATGGCTGTATCTCCTGTACCAGGAGGTTTTAATAATAACGTGATTGGTGTCCAGCTTCCAGGTTGGTCAACTCTACAACTCCTACATTGGGATGCTGATCAAAACTCACTAACCCTTTCACAAAGAGAGGAACAAAATCCTCCATTGTGGTACTGTAGCTAGAATGTTGACGGTGTGAACGTGGAGCCCTGTTAGGTTGCAACCAAACAAAATGTGTTGCGTGAAGCCAACTGTGGCTGTGGGTAAACCATGTTTCTGCTTTATTGTGTTGCATGAGCCAAGGGCTGAAGATGGGTGAGCCCAGTCAAACCTTGTAGGCCTGAACATTTCTCAGAGTTGTTCACAATAAGGAAAATTAGATTGTTTGTGCTACTTTCTCCTTCTCTGAAGGTAGCATCAAGTGATTCAGGAATGAAAGGTTGGTATTTATCTGATTCCAGGCTTTGCCTCCATAAAAAATTTTGGGGTCTGCCTGATATCATGGCTCCTGTTCCGTTTTCCCTGGGTGGGCATTCTGGTTTGGATGGCTGTGGATTAGTTTAATGATGCCAGTCTTCCATTTTCAGGAATGGTATGAAGAGTATTCCAGGAGAGAAGAACGACAGCTTCCTTGGCATGAAGATGATGAATTGCTCAACCAGGCCTTCCACCCTCCTGGCCTCCGGCAGCGGTCACAAACAATCATCTAAGCTTTGCTTATCGAAAGCAGATTCTCCTATGCATTCAGCCTGGGCTTGCCGACACAGCGACTATAGCCTCCCCTCAATCAGATTTTTCTTTTTTAAATGATCCTAATCTCTTGAGTTTTCAAGCCAGGATGCTGACCTCTTGGGAGAAGTCAACCAGTTTTATTTTTATTTTTTAAATTTAAGCCTTCTCCTTTCTTCTGGCATCTGCACTAGTGCATGGGAGGTCTGGAAGGACTCTTGACCTTGCAGTAACGTTGTGCCGTGGGACTAACGCACAGTCCGGCCTGGCCAAAGTACAGCGGGACTTTCTTTTGGAGAAGACCTGTGGGTTTTCTTCTTGTTGCTGTGTTCTTTTGCAAAAAGCCAGTTGTTGTGTCAGAGCTGTCAGATGCACTGGCCCAGAGAGCTGGGATCCGGCCCATTTGCAAGCAAAGATGACAAGCAGGAGTGCGTATTGAATGTATGTTCCAGCGTGCGCCTGATGTTATCTTTCATCAGGCACTTCTTCAGATGGGCTAGAAATGGCAGGAAGGCTGGTTGAGTCCCCAAGCATCAACTAGATTGCCCTCTCTGCATTCGTAATGAACTAAATGCAGTTGAGTGAAGTCATGTAAAGTATATACCACACTAATTTTCCCCACCCTTTGTAACTCATCAGCAGCTATAAAGACTCCTAGTAGTCCAGTCATTGCTTGCCAGTTTTTACCAAAATGTAGCAAGGCTCTCTGGCATATAACAGGACCCAGGGCCAACTTGGGCTCAGAATATCTTCCTAATGGAAGTGGATTCCTGGTTCAGTGAGATCCTGAACATGTATAAGACTCTATTGTGCTCATGTGCTCACAAACTTTGTCCTGTGTTGGCATAATGATTCTTTCACTTTCTGGGAACTGGAAACTTGAAATGGCACCTTCCTGGAGCCGTTAACAACTACAGCCCAGAAGGCAACCCTGCCAATAGGCATTGTACTAAATCCTGAACTAACCCTGCCAATAGGCATTGTATTAAATCCTGAAGCAACCCTACCAATAGGTATTCTATTAAATCCTGAACCAACCCTCCCAATAGGCATTCTTTTAGATAATGAAGCCACCCTGCCTAATAGGCATTGTAGTAGAGCAATAATTCTTTGACAGAAAAGACAAACGTGATCCAGGGATTGGTGTCTATCAGATTTTGTTATTGATCCTCTTCTGTAGAAATTCCTCAGTCTATTACCAGGCTTGGGGTCTCTTAGGAAGCCCTCTTCCCCACAAGAGAAACAAACAAGTGGATCATATATGTTTTTATCATTCTTTGATTTGGAATAGGAACCTTGGCAACGCCTAATGCTTGTCTCAAAATACGAAGAAGCATTATGCTCATCCAGGTTTGTCTCTGGCTATTATTTTAATCTGGATGGCAAACAGGCCTTCCATCATTCCTTGCAATTTATAAGCAGAAAAGACAGGTTTTTCTTCTTTTTTCTTTTTTCCTTGTCCCTTCTGTATCTTTAGGATCACCAGCCTAAAACAATTAGGAAACTTCGCTTTCTTATGCCTGCTAACTCTCTGGCATAGCAGAACCTAGTTAAAAACAACAAGCTTATTTTCATGCTAAATAAATAATTGAGAAGTGTTGGCTCTGAATAAGCTATTTTCCAGTTGTTGGAGAGAGGAATAGTACACCTTACACAAAGCCAGTGTAAGGGGATGGATTTGAGATAAGCAGTTACCAGAAGTGAAATTTTCCTGTCTTTGCTTATAGCATCTCACTCTATGCTGGTTCCTCCAGATGCCCTCAGTTACATTAATGGCCAGGGAAGATAACAGTTGTACCCTAACATTACCAGTGGACACCAAGTTGGGGAAATGAGAGTTCTTGTACCCATGATCACTGATGATCTTATTTGTTTTCTTCCGAAAAAGAATGAGGATATTTTTTAAGGTAGATGTCCCCAATTTAGATGACCTCCAGGTAGATGGACTTCCACTCCCAGAATTCCCAGTGCCTGCCATGCTATATAGGGCAACTCTGGGAGTTGAAGTCCACCCATCAGGAGTTTATCCAGATGGAAGGTTGCCTTAAGGTCCTTTGGAGAGAGAAGGGGCATCTTAAGAAAAATACTATTGGTTCAACAGGGCATTAGTGTTGACAGTGGAAGGTATTCCTTCCTGATATATCCATCAGATTTACTATTCCTTTAGAAAGGGGGTAGGTTTGCAGAGCTGAACAGATGGGATGTTTTCTAGGGGCTGTTCGTTAGAGATATGCTATGTTTTGGCTCTGAAGCAAAAACAGAATTTCAGAATGGGTAGGGCCATCCAGATCATACCTGTCTATGTGTATGAAAGAGGTGTCTTTCCTGGAGCTTGCACCACCATTACATTTGGAAAATACAAATTTAAATTAGGGAGGCGCTGACTGCATATGCATACACATACTCAAAGCACCTTATTGTACCCCATCAGCCCTTTCTAACTCAAATTTGGATTTTCCTGGGATTGTAGGGTGACGATGCAAGCCCATGAGAGCCACAACTTCTTTAAGGAGGTGCTGATGTTTGCAGGATGCACAACTCTGAAGCACATTTTCAGCTTTGGATCTGAAGTGCCGCATAGCCTCGGAGTACGCACTCGGTTTAGTATTTTTTTCAACAGGAGCCTAGGTGATCCTTATCTCGCTTACCAACCGTTTCGGTGGTGTCACTAAGCAGAAATGAATGCTGAGCACCTTTATAATTTGGACTTGTTTTGCTCACCGGTCAACGAGCCAAACCTGGTGTGCACATGGGGCTCATTTTGCACACTGTGCACGCCCAGGCTAGTTAAGAGGAGTCTGCTTGGCACCACCTAGCCCATCTTTTGCACAGTTCTTTGATCATCATCCACGGCTAAGCAGGTTGTCAAAACCTAGAGTGATGGTCTTTTTGGTTAGCATCAACCAGAATGTGAAGCTTTATTCTAGTGCTCAAATAGTAGTTTCTGCTAATGGGAAGGAGAGTTACTCCCAGTTTGGATGCACTACTGGAAAGTCACAAATACACATATAATATTCAGTTTATCAGCCTGGATGGTAAACAATGGAATATAGTTTTAGATTTTCTTCCTCTACTTGGCATAAGAGATGCTGGCAACTTAATCCCAGCCATTTGTAGAGCAGGATATTTTTTGGGATGTTTTCATTATTTTTGCTCTTGTTTATTAAATAAGCTAAAAATGATTCCAGAAATGTCTTTCTTCTGAGTATCTTGGAAGGAAAAAAAAAAAAAAACGCAGGGACATTTCTTCCTAAATACCATTTTCTCTGCTCTTAACTCCAAAGACAATCACTTGTAGGGGATGAAACACTTGATGGGTTTTGGATACTGGAACAATTTGTATGGCCAATATAACAATGTCTGAAACAGTATTGTATAGATGTTTACAGCACATTTAATAAACTTTCTAAAACCTTTTCCCTTTTTTTCCATCCCCTTTTTTATATTTAGACTATATGTATATAAAAAACCTGAGTTGATTATTTGGTTGCCACCGTATCTAGAGAGATCTGGGTTTGTCGATACGTGCATTGTTAACCTCACGGTTGGATTCCTACAGTATGCTCTCCGTAGGGCAGCCCTTGAAGACGTTCTGAAGACTTCAAATGGTCCAGAAGGCAGGGGGAAAAGGGCATCTGTGGGTGATGCCATAGGACATCCAACCTTAGTTCAAGGTTCACAGTGTCCCACCCAGTTCATAACTCAAAATACATCCTCCTTCCAGCCCACCCAAACCTTAGGATTCAGAGAGAGCAGCTATCTCATGAGTAGGGCTCCAAGGAGATTCCTACATAGATTTTCTACTGCTGGACAAAAGAAAACATCAAATTGTTGGAGTTGTTTCATACAAAGGCATGCACACACCACGGACAAGCCCTGCAGTTGATCGATGCTCTTTATTATTTAAATTGATGTCATCTTACATCAAAGTGGGATGGGGAAATTACAGCACTTAACGCTTTTTTTGAGGTAGATCATTCAACAAAAAAGCTCATTGGAAGTTAAATGTATTTACAAAGATGAGAAAGGATCCGGAGCTGGGGCACCATCTCTTAATCTCAGTTTGCCTCCAACTCACTTGGCTTCCATTATGCTTAGAAAAGAGAGAGGGTTAGTCATAAGCTGCTTGCTATTTCCTTACCAGGTTAGTCTTTGAGTGCCCCCCAAAAGAGAACCCTTGTCAATTGACCACACTGGGAGCGGAAAAGGAAGCGAAGCAGGCTGGGCGTGCTTCAAAAAGGATTTGGAAGACTTTAGACCTTGTATCAGTGCCTGGAAAAAAAAATCTGACAAAAGATGAAGTTAAAAAAAACGCTCTTATGAGCTCTGAAGCATCTGCGTGGGTGGGTCTGTGGGTATAAACATAGACATTAAACTCTTCTGAATCACTTCCAAAACATGCATAACCCCATAAAACATCTGGAGAGGACAAGATTGGAAATGAGAGTTCTGACAAATGCAGCTTCTGGTTTTCTCCTGTGCTAGCCTTCTCTGCTAGAGGAACTTCAGGCTAGAGCAGTGTTTTTCAAACTTGGCAGCTTTAAGATGTGTGGTCTTCAACTCCTAGAATTCCCCAGCCAGTTGAAATCCACACATCTTAAAGCTGCCAAGTTTGAAAAACACCGATGTAGAGTTTGGGCCTTGGCCTTAAATTTTCTCTAAGCCTTTATTGCATAGATGCTCTAAAGAATACATAAATAAAGGTTCAGTATCTGGTAAAACCTGGATGGGGTATAGCCATACCGGAGACAAATTTGAAGCGGAGGCTAATGAGAACTTCTTCCATAGACAAAACTTGGGATTTACAATTTGTTTATGTGTATCCCTTCAAGTCAACCTTGACTTCTGGTGACTATGGACAATTCCTAACAGTTTTCTTGGCAACTTTTTTTTTTTTTTTTTTTGAAGTGGTTTGCCCTTGCCTCCTCCTTCCTAGAGCTGAGAGAGAGGGACTGGCCCAAAGTAACCAGCTGGGTTTGTGTAATGGTATGTGGGAAAGACCTTGGGAGACTGGGCAAAGAGATGTTGTCTACAAGACTGGATAGCGGTGGAGCAAGAGGCTCAGAAGAGACCCTCATTAGTTTCTCAGGTGGTAAAGGAGAGGGGGGGTGGGGGGAGAATTGTACTTTCAGACTTGCAAGATTGATGTCATCCTTGCAGGGTAAACCAGATAGGAATTAGATGAACTAATTCTACTTTATTGTAAAGCTACATTGGCAGAATCTTGCAAGTCTGAAAGTACAATCCTCCTGTTCTCTCCTTTACAGCCTGAGAAACTAGGGAGGGTCCTTTCTCAGCCTCTTGCCCCACCCATTATCCATCTGTGGGCTATGCCACCTCTTATCTGACTGTTCCCTTGGCAGTGTCTCTTTGCCCAGACTCCCAAGGTCTTTCCCACATACCATACAGTTTGTGACTAAGGCACAACTACAATGTACAGTCTCCCAGTTTCCAGCCTGGTGCCTTTATCCCCTACACCAAACTGGCTTTCCAATTTGCTTAAAAAAAAAAGATTTGCTTAGTGATGCTGAAAACAAACTTGTGATACTGCAGCCACAGCTATGTAGGGAAAACACGAAAAAAAGGAATCCCTCTGAAAGTGGATCTAAATGCATTTCATAGAATACAGAACAAAATATTCTGAATAAGCATGCCTAGGATTGCACATATATTTCTATGCTGGCTCAAGTGAAAGAGGTGGTTCATCACCTTGACTTTATGCCATAAAGCTACATCATGGACAGTTCTTAAAACTGGCAACTACCACCCACAGTTCTCCATCAAACTCTTTCCTATTTCTTTTGTCATCTCCAGATGTAGCAGTCTACAAGTCCCATCATCTCTGGCTAGCTAGCAAGCGCAGGACCAGATATAGACCTAGTGAGGTCCTACTCAATGGGAAGAGGTAGAGGGTCCATTTGGGAAGTGCTAACAGAGAATAAGATGGTGTCATGATTCAACTAGGCAAGACCACCACCGTGATCCAGAACAATGATGGGGTACCGAAGGGCTACCTTTGAGTAGAAGGTGTGAATGCATGCAGAAAGAAAGGGCCATGAGAACCATACAGGAAGGCTTAATTTACGTGGACTTTCATATATGAAAGTATAATAAAACTGTCACAATAAAAAAAAAAACTTAAACTTTGAGAGGTCTATTCAAGCTGTGAGGTCCTAAACTGTAATTTACTTAGCTTACGCTCTGAAATGGCCACTGGGAAACATTTCTCCATTGCTCATCAGGTTGAATTGTCCAAGGAGGTGACATTGGCAAGACCTTTTGAGCAAGAATCCCTTTTTGATCTGTTCTCAAGGGAAGACGTGGTCTGAGCAAGTTCACCCGCAAGACTACGCAAGGCTTCCAGTGTGCTGTTGCCCAACGTGGAGCCCAAATCTTTGTGATCTCGCCTCAGATGGTCGAGAAATGGCTGAGAAAGAAACTTGCTCCACTGTTTCTTCACTGCAGAGGCACCTGTTTCTTGCTGACATACAGATTGTGAAGCAAGTTTTCCTCGGCCACCTCCCAGCAGCTGCATAAACCATATTTGCACAAGGTCAACACCCAGTCTGTGCAATTGATGACTCAGCCAAATGCTAATCCACCAGCTGTGGGTGACAAAAAACTAGGAGATCGGTGAAAGGCCTATTTTTGCTTCAGAGTGCAGCAAAAAAAGAGAGCAAGTCGAGAAGAACATGTTAAGCCATGATGCACAGCTGGGTGGGCACAGCTGGCTGAATGAATCCGTTGTTAATTGTGCAAGTAAGTCAGGGTGCAAAGGTCCCAGAATGCTTTACTCCTCATTACTGACTTAGCAAGAAGAATGAAAAGACAAGAAGAATGAAAAAGAATTGCTCAGCCACTACTTTTCTGCAAACCACCTACTGTGTTTGAGGGCATATGGAGAAATATCTTTGATCCTATTAAATATGTATCGTATTTGCTCACCCAGCACAATAATAAAAGGAGAAAGAGGAAATGGGGAGAATAAAATAAACAACGCTTTTCAAAGGTGTCAGAAAAATTGGGAGGGAAGAGGAACCAAGAACTACACAGAATTGCTCATGCCTTTTGCACCCAAACAGTTCTTTTGCCTCATTCCGATTAACAGACCTGCCTTCAGAGACAATGAAAAATGTCCTTTCTTTGTCTCGTGAGCTTGCAAAATCTATCCCTTCTGTATGTCCCTTTGAAAAATGCTGGCTATGTTCACACATCATGCTTTCCCTGGTCAGTTACAAACCTAGCCGTTTCATTAGTCCATCATCCCAGCCTTGTTTAGTTTTAATCCTGGTTTTGTAGCTTAGTATGTTGGATGAAGCCAATCTGTTTAGATGATTTGCAGGTCAGGGTAGTTATACAAGCCTTAAAAATGGGCTAATGCAATAAGGTGGGGAAGCATGCTGGTGAACACACCCAAGTGATCTGTTTTTCATAGGCTGCTGGCACGTGATTCCACCCACCTTTCCATTTCAGAGTTTTGCTACATATCAACACAGCAGCAGGTCTACAAATATGCCTCGCTCGTGGATGGAAAATGCCATTTGGTGCCTAAACGTCAACCTTCACAATCCGATCACTGGAAAGACAGTTTTTTCTATGCTTTTTCTTGACAAAACTCTATCTTAATAGCCAACAGCAGGACGGGGCAAACAAGTCAAGATGGCAGGGTCTTACCCGTTTCATAAGAGTCTTGAAGGCACCCCTGCTAACAACCAGTGGTCACAGTTGATGGAGAATTCAGTCCATACTTTGGATGCGTTAAAGACTCAGTTCAGGAGCTGAAAAATACGTCTAATAAAATTCATTTCTTAAAAAAAAAAGGATACCTTAAAAAAAGTATTGCTATCTAAATAGTGTGTTTTCCGTAGAAAAGCTAACACTGACTGAGATGGGGTCTCAAGTATCCTGCAACCCTGGCTTGGTTCTAAAATCCCAGAATCACATAAAGGGCTCTGAAACAGCTGGATTGATGCAGGTCTGTCACAATGCTCAGGGTTCCACTGATCGTCCTTCTCTCAGCGGCCACCATCAAACCTGGCTACCAGGCCCTCTTGAGAACTTGCCAGCAAGTCTTTGTCTCAGAAGGCACCATTTTCAAGTAAATAACAGGATCCAATGCAGGTCCAACCTTTGGTGATGTAGGCGAGGTCTTAAGATGAGATGCCTCGTTTAGACGGTGGGAATTCGGATCACCCTGAACTCTGTCAGCAGTGCAACTGTTAAGAACACCAGGTAGTACGCAATGAGGCAGTAGCCGTAGCCATGACCCAGGTGAAAGCACTGGGCAGGTACAGAAAGGAAAGAAATTATCAGGCTGAGGCCCAGGGCTCCTGCTAGAATCCATACCAAGAGGCCATCCGACTCCAGCTGCAAAGGAAGAAGAAAAAGGGTAGAGTAACCACTTTGTCCGGATAGAGGAAGAACCTCAAAGTTCATCTAGTTCAGGGTTCCTCAACCTTAGCAACTTTAAGATGGGTGGACTTCAACTCGCAGAATTCCCCAGCCAGCTGGGAGTTGAAGTCCACCCATCTTAAAGTTGCTAAGGTTGAGGAACACTGATCTAGTTGACCCTTCTGCAGTGTTCAGGAAAGCCAATTAAATCACCACTGAGAGGGGGCTGTCCAGCCACTTCTCAAAAGCCTCCAGAGACGGAAGAACCCACAGCCTCCATAAGTCCAGGTAGTCCTCACTTACCAGTGGTAATTGGGACTGGGAACTCCATTGCCAAGCAATGCGGCCATAAGGAGTGATGTCACATGACCGCACCGACTTACAACAGCAGTTCTGGCAGTCCCAGTTGCTGTCATTAGGCAAATCCCATCCTGCAGTCACGTGATTGCCATTTGCAACCTCCTGCCAGATTCCCTGTTGACTTTGCTTGTGGGAAGCTGGACATGAAAGTCACAAATGGGGATCACGTGACCAAAGGGATGCTGTGATGGCCGCAACTATGAGGACCCATCATAATACCCCTTGTTCAGCGCCATTGTAACTTTGAACAGTCACTGAATGAGTGGACATTAAACACGAATTACCTGTACTCTGTTCCATTCTTGTACAAGTCTTATCATCAGGAATTTTATAATTAAATGAAATCTAGTGCAAATTACACTCATTATTTCTGATCCTAGTTTCTGTCATAAAAGAGTTCCTAATCATCTTCCCCATGACCCCCTTTATGCATTTGAACACGGATATTACGTTTCCAACTATCCCCCCAATCTTTTGTTCAGACCGAACAACATTATTACCTAGTCATATAATGAAACATCTTCAAGCAAGCCACCGAGCTCAGAGAGCACCAAGGACTCCACAGTTCTCTAGACCTTTTCTAACCTGTCAATATCCTCCTGGAAATGAGGCTCCCACAACTGTACACCATACTTCAGGTGTGGTCTTACCAGTGGAGACCAGAGTGGAATAAAGATTTCCTACTTTTTTGACCCAAGGCTTCTTCTAAAGCAGCCCAGAACTGCAGTAGCCCTTCTAACAGCTGTCTCACACTGCTGTCTCGTGTTCCCCCGAGGAGACATTTCTTAGGGCCAACATAAAACACATCAGGAAAGAAGTTTGACCAGGTAACCAGTTAGCAGGACGGGGAGGTAGGTCTTCTCACTAGAGGTCTTCAAGCAAAGGTGGACAGGCATCTGCTGAGGACCCACTATCTTTTCTGCATTGAGCAGGGGGCTTGGATTAGATTGGATCCTTCTCGCTTCCAAATCTTTCTCCATCCCTCTCCCAAGCTGTGGTTACACATTCTCAAGAGATGCCAAACTGTAAAGACCCCACACGGTAGAAACAAAATACATATAGTCTCTTGGCCTTCCTGAAAGCAATGCTCTTAAGGCATCTTCTCCCTCCTCGTTCTAGAAACGCGCAGTCTCTCTCCAATCAACGTCTTGAAACCAAGACATTCTGCACGCTATTCATTTCCTATTTAAGGCCCTGGTTCTCCGCTCAGGGCAATATCAAGCACAACAAATCATAACACAGAAGAACGTGGCATTCAGAAGTCGCAGGGGACTGAGCAATAATGAGCCCCAGCCCACTAAAACTCATAAAAAAGGTAGGGATGGTGATGGACTGGGCTTAACACCAAAAGAAAGCTTATGCCATGCAGATGTTTTCTCCATCGGTTACCTGTCCAGCCAGTAAGGAAACCAGGAGAAGGCGCACCCGCCCCCTTTAAAAATGATCCATGCGCTCAAACCAAAGCCCTGCCTCTCGATCCCAGATGCCACATTCCGATTTGAGCAGATGGATCAGTTCCCAGTGGGGAACAGCACTCTGCCCATCTCAAATGGCCTCTTTTGAATGTTGATTGCATCCAAGGGCGTGCATTAGAGGAAGCTGCAGCCGTTCACCAGCTCTTCGGCAGGAAAAAATATTGCTCATCCAAGACTGCTCTTCCTGCTTGCCAGATGGTTTTATTTTCAGCCGTTTCTCTTCTGCTTTCCCCGTCAGAAGAGCAGGGAGGGAATAAAGGAAGCAAATAAACACAATTGCAAAAGGAAGGTGGACTTTCATACCCTGACTACTAATTTGCTGCTGGTCATTTGCAAAAGGCAGCCAAGCCCGACGCCAACAAGCATATCTGGGAGCGAGTTCAGGAGGAAACGTTTCTGCCAGGAAGAGTAACCCATTCCGGGGGGCTGAGAGTTTTCCTAACTGGATCTGCTGGGTGCACATTCACCCCAGGAACAGTAGTATGTTGGAAATGTCAGGTTTTTCTCCAAGAGTGGAAACTTTTCCCTTAGCAGCACCACTAGGGAATTTTACGGGCTATGCAATAGCCAGTTCTTCGAGGAAATGGTTAGAAAATGGGCCAATGGACTTTAGACTGGGAGGGAATTGAATTTATTATTTTTTTCAAACAACTGCAGCCCTCCAACTGTGAGACTGGGGCAAAGTCCTGGCTGGGTTAGAAACCCATGTAAAATGCTGCCTTGTCCATGGAATGATTCACCTGCAAAGCTAACATTTTGGGCAGAAAGGTTGGGCACAAATCAAAGAGACAACACCAACACTGTGCCAAAATTTGCCTAGATATTTTTCCCAAAAGTTTTCTTCCCTTGCCCCTTGGTGGGGTTTGTTTTCCTATTTTTTTTTTTTCTCCAGGGTGCTGGGAGTTGCTTTCCCATTTCTCTTGGGGGTGTTCTGGAGCTGACTCAATTGTTGGAGATGGTAGAGGGGGGGTTTGCTAATATTTTTTGCAACCTCTTGCAACCACCTGGCCACTGCAGAAGTGCAGGCCTGCTCCATTCCACCCTGGTGAAGGTCTGATTTTTTTCTCCTTTAAAAAAAAGTTTAAGAAGAACATCTTTCATCACACTAAAGGAGAACAGGTTGGAAAAAAATGTAGGGTTTTTTTCCCCTCTGCATGGTGCTATATACAACCTCCATTTATATCCAGTTTACAGGAGATGAGAAATTGTACTCAGAAATTTAAACCTGGCCAGAGCAAATTGTACCAAATCAGTTTGATAGAAAAGGGATGTGATTATTAAAAAGCAATTAGCACCCAGCTATTTGAGCACTCCATTTTTTAGTTATGATTGTTAAATTATTAGGAGACATTCCTGGAAGTTGAAACCTCTTTGTGATCTTATCACCCACACCAGGAACTGCCTTCTATGAATCTTACAACAGATAAATGCAGGATGGGAGAGCTCTCAAAATGACTATTTATCAAGGTAGCTACAATGGAGCTTCTGGATCCAGAGGCAAAATATTTGCAAATCAGATTTGTAAGACAGGTAATGGGGAATTCTGCTGCCTTGGACCATAAAGATGGATTAGACTGATCCTTGGTGTGATCCAGGTGGTCTCTTCTTATACAAAGGGTAGAGAGAAAGATATGTTTTCCCGTCTTGAGGAATCATCAAAGCATCAGAGCCAAATGTAAAAAGCTTTCTCCAACTAGATAGCCTCCAGACACACCCAAACTCCCAGTCCCTTAATACATCTGGAAGTGAGGAAATCAGTCTTGGAAAAGCTGTAATACAAACTCTAAGCGGATTCATCCATTCCACCGAACAGACCAACTTCCCCATCTACAAAATCGTAAAAGGATACTGAAGATAATACCCCCAAAACAGGCTGAAAAAGCCATCCGGGGATAGCCTTGACGCGCCATGGTGAGGTCGGAGAACATATCTGTGGGGAGAAAGAGAAGAAGACAGACTCAGCATAGAGCATTCAACTCCCAAATAAAGATCTGGTGTTGGAAGGATTTTTGTTTTCAAATGGCTTTGCACAAAACTGGCCAAATCTAAACCATCATTCCGTTAGCCATAATTGACTGGGTTTGCAAAACACACCATGCTTAAACCAGCCACCTGAGGGCTTAATGCGATGTTTAAAATGGGGCCAGATGTAACATGTATGTATGTATGTATATATGTATGTGTGGAGAGAGAATAACAATACAATGGAGATCTTAGTACTAAGTCATCAGCACAAGATCAAAATCTTTATCGTACAACCAATACTTTGACGTCATTTGCTGAGTTTTTGTTTTTTGTTTTTATGTTATCCTCAACTCCGGATGAAAAAGTCAAAGAATGTTAGGCTTGTAATATTGACCTCCTAAATTGTAATTCATATCGACAGAAGACTCTTCTCTTTTCTCTATTTCCAACACTCTAAGTCATCTAAATAATAGAATGTCGATAATTTTCAATTAATACCGTATAAATATTGTATAGATGATATCGGATCGTATAGAAACAATACAGTGTATTAAGATTTAGGACAGTGTAGGAAAAAGAAAAAAGAAAACACTAAAAAAAATAAATGAAATGGGCTGTTCTCTTGGGCATCCCATGTGGGAGAAGACAAGTAACTTCACGTTTCATGGCATCATCGTGCAAATTACATAATTTACATCATTTGCACAACGTTTGCGCATGAGGTCATCATGGTTCTAGCCCATCTTTGCCCTGGTCAAGATCCAGTCAACTCAGTTCCCACCCCTTCAATTCAAACCCCGTGGAACAGGCCCTCAATTAACCCAAGTTAACTGTCTTCTTTCAGCCCTGAAGCTTGGTCATCCAGTTGCTAATTTTCTTTTGACCTACCCTACATCAGAGGGTTGTTGGGAGGTTAAAAAGCAAAAAGAGCAGAGGAAGGGAAGGTAATAAATCATAGTTGGAGATGAGCCCATGATGGCTTGTTCTACTAACCCCCAATGCTGTTTCCCCAGGCCAGCAGTGTCAACCCCAAGACTGTGTTGCTTAGACGAAAGATGACACCTAAAGTCTGCAGGATGTTAACCACTTCGGTAGCTGCTGCGTTGATCCACATGGCACTGACAAGGAATCCCAGAAAGGCAAAAACCTGTTGCCAGAAGAAGAGTCGGAAGAGAGTGCAATGAATTCACACTTCCCATTAAACCATGGTTTTGTTCTAGCATTGCCTATTGAATGAGCTGGAGTCAGTCATGCAGTCAAGCAAAGTGATTGCAGATTTTTCCTTCCTTCCTTCCTTCCTTCCTTCCTTCCTTCCTTCCTTCCTTCCTTCCTTCCTTCCTTCCTTCC